CTGCTCTCTATCTCATGTTAGACTTCCAATCATGATATTCATGCCACGATCTTGATATTTATTGGAGACTCCTTATTTAACAAACTTAAGATAAGTTTCTTCCTTTGATCATCTTAATAGATCGACGGGTCATGTTCTGATGACCTCTCATCGTATGATGCATTGCTTGGACGGGTCATGTTCTCATGACCTCTCATCGTATAATTAAACGAACTTTATATTTTTTAAAAGTAAGAAATAATGATATTAAATCACGATACAAAGTGGTTGACTTTTAGGGTTTAACCAAAAGAAATTTCGGGTTGTCACATCATCCCCCTATTAAGGGAATTTCGTCCCGAAATTAAAGTCTAAGCAAAAGAAGTAGTTACAAATAACTAAGCAAAGAGATGAGGGTATTTCAGTTTCATCTGATCCTCGCGTTCCCAAGTGAATTCCGGTCCTCGCTTGGCGTTCCAGCGAACCTTCACAATCGGGATACGGCTTTGTTTCGTCTGCTTGACCTCACGGTCCATGATCTCTACAGGTTCTTCCACGAAGTTGAGGCTCTCGTTGATCTCGATCTCGTCGAGTGGGATTACAAGAGTCTCGTCGGACAGACATTTTTCAAGTTAGATACGTGGAATGTAGAATGTACGTTACGAAGTGTGTCGGGTAGGTCGAGTTTGTAAGCTACGGGGCCGACTCTTGCGAGAATCTCGAAAGGCCCTATGTACCTCGGATTAAGCTTCCCACGCTTACCGAAGCGTATCAAGCCCTTCCAGGGTGAGACTTTGAGAAGGACTCGGTCTCCCACCTGAAATTCCAAAGGTTTTCTTCGCTTATCAGCGTAGCTCTTCTGTCGGTCTCTAGAGGCTTTCAATCGTTCACGGATCTGAATTTTCTCTGTCATTTCCCGAATGATCTCGGACCGGTGAGAGTACTGTCAGAAGCTTGCCCCCTGGCTAATTGGGTATCACCCACTTCAGCCCAGCACAGAGGGGATCTGCACTTTCGGCCGTAGAGGGCTTCAAATGGTGCTGCCTTTATGCTCGTGTGATAACTGTTGTTGTAGGAAAATTCGACGAGGGGTAAATGGGTATCCCACGCTTTTCCAAAGTCAATTACACAAGCACGCAACATATCTTCTAAAGTCTGGATTGTTCTCTCACTTTGTCCGTCGGTCTGTGGATGGTAGGCTGTGCTCATGTCTAGCCTTGTTCCCAGGGAATGTTGTAGTGATTGCCAGAATCTTGAGGTGAACCTACTATCTCTATCGGAGATAATGGATATAGGCACACCATGTAGCCGTACGATTTCCCTAATGTATGTTCTCGTAAGTTTCTCCATCTTGTCGGTTTCTTTGATAGGCAGGAAGTGTGCAGACTTGGTCAATCTATCGACGATGACCCATATGGTATCAAGTCCACCCGTTGTCTTGGGCAACTTGGTTATGAAATCCATAGTGATCCGCTCCCACTTCCATTCTGGAATCTCTGGTTGTTGCAGTAAACCGGAGGGCTTCTGGTACTCGACCTTAACCTTTGCGCAAGTAAGGCATTTACTTACGAAGGTAGCAATCTCTGCTTTCATATTAGGCCACCAGTATAGCTTTTTAAGATCCAGATACATCTTATCTGAACCTGGGTGGACGGAATACCGAGTGTTGTGCGCCTCGGTCATGACCAAGTCTCGGAAACCACCGTGTTTCGGTGTCCAGATCCGGTCCATGAAATATAAGGCTCCGTCACCCTTGGCTTCTAAATTCTTGTCCATTCCTCTGAGGGATTCACTCGGCACATTTTCAGGTTTCATGGCTTCAAGTTGGGCCGCCTGAATTTGTTTAGACAAG